GCGCCTCCCTTTTAGCTAGGAGACATTCCCGGATGCTTTTGGTGAGCCGTGGGGGCTTGTGTGCCCTCCTGCTCCCTTTGATCCGTGTTGGGATTACCTCCCTTTGGGCTTGGACGATCGTCTCCTTGAGGAGCGACCACTCTCCTTGGACACCTGGCTCCCCTCCCCTCTGGGACCTCAGCGCTTCCCCGACTATCCTCCTTAGCTCATTGAAGTCCGCGCTCCTGAAATCTAGGGCTGCTGCCTTGCTGCCGGCCTTTGCCACCCTGCGCTATATTTCAGGTGATGATCGCTGTCACCCAGGTGGTCGAGCACCCGCAGCCCCCGCACCAGGTCGTCATCCGTGGCCAGCACCAGGTCCAACAAGGCGTCTCCCCGGTGGGGCTGTGCACCTCCTGGGTTAGATGGAGGTCCTGCATTTGGGCTAGGGACCTATGTGAGGGGTCAGACCTGGCTGACTGCTCTTCCCAGCAGATGTCTGGAAAGTTCAGGTCCCCCATGATGACCACGTCCTTGGACCTAACGACCTCCGTGAGCTGGCTGAAGAGTTCCTGGTCTAGCTCTTCCCCGTGGCTGGGGGGTCTGTAGTAGACCCCACCGTTAAGTCTCTTTCCCCTCGACGGCCTTGTATCCTAACCCAGAGCATTTCCATGTGCCCCTCCTCTGACTCTGTGCTACCTGGTGAGGATGTGTATTCCTCCTTGACGAACAGTGCCACCCCCCACCTTTCCTCCCTGTCCTGTCCCTCCTGTACAGCCGATAGCCCTCGGTATTCACCGCCCAGTCGTGCGTTGGGTCCCACCACATTTCATTGAGCCCCACTATGTCCGGGCTGGTGTCAGCTAGCAGGAGGGGAAGTTCCTCCTGCTTGTTCCCCATACTACGAGCGTTTGTGTAGAGGCATTTGAGGCCTCCTGTGGATGTGTGCACTGGCCCCCTAATCTCAGCATTGCCCGGGTCCCTGTTGCTTGCCTGGCTGTATGTCTGCTCATCGGTCTAGGCTGGGCTGTACTTGTGAGTGCTGCTTGGTTTAGCGGTCCAAGGCTTCCTCCGCCCTCGTCTTCCCTACCCCCCAACGAGCCTAGTTTAAAAAATGATCTCCTCAGGGAGGGAGCCTCTTTCTTAGCCCTTGTAATCCTGTTATGTCTACAATTTGGGGAAGCCAACGGAAAGCGCGCTGCCTGCCAGACACAATGGGCACCGCCAGCCTACAAGGGATTACGAGCTGTGGTCGGAGCGCTCGGTGCAGAGATGACACAGCAGCCCTTTGTCTGGCTCATTCCCGGCGCTCGTCTCCTGGCTCGGGATGTTTCGTGTCCCCCCCATCCTGGTGCCTCTTCGCGCGGGGAGACCCACGGAGGGGGCTGCCACTTCCCCAGCCCTTGCCGCAGCGAGGAGGCCCGCAGATGTGCCCAGTGAAGCGGCCAGTGGGACAGCCGGTGGCGACAGCCTTGCAAGGAGGCAAAGGCAGCATCTGAGTTTAGCACGCCACTCATACGAGACCTGCATGGGATGGGGATGCTGCAGACCCTGGTGCAGACTGGGTGTATGAGCTTTGGAAAGAAACACCGCTTTCTTTCCAAACGTGCCTCTCTGTTCACGTGCGTGAGCCTGCAGTTCAGTGCTTCAGGCCCCCCTCATACGATATCAATGCCCCCCTGGATTTATTTGTGGACAAAGGATGCTCTTGGTTGCAGCCTGTGAGGGTGGAGGGATGGCCCTGTTCTTCCTGGGGTCATATTTGGGCCCAGTGCATTGCCTAGCTGTTCAAGCAGGGCCCCATCACACAGGACCGGTGTAAATCAGCGGTAACCCAATGGAGCAGGTATTATGGGCGTGGCAGAGACCTGCTGGGTTTGGTGCATCGACCCTCAGGCAAACCACCTTCCAAAAGACCCCGCTAACTTCAGAGCCCTGCAAAATGGGTCTGGCTCCGCCAGCCTATAGTCACTTCTGAATTTCAGGCCTCTGATTTGCCAGCTGCAGAAGTGGGACAACAGCAGTGGGACACACAGAGGAGAGAGAACAAGCGTGAGGACCCCCTAATTGTCACCACCCCGGCACAGCTCTGAATGGGGGCAGGCGAAGCCCTCCCCTGCAGCCCAGAGCCCCAAAAGTCTTGCCATTCCTCTTGGCAGCCTTTGCAAAGGCCCATTATAGAAGCCTGCTTCCCCGGTGCTTTGGGTTGTTTTTCAGGCAGCGTGACAGGATGAGGAGGAAATGTGCCAGGAATGACTCCGAGTCTCCTCTCTAGAGAGATCTGGAGTCTATTTTTAAACTCCTGCTCCCCCCCAACCCTGGGCCTGCAAAGGAGTTAGGGGGGCAGGCGGGAGGTTCGCAGCCTGGCAGTCGCCGCTTGCAAAAAACACCTCCGCAAAAGCGAATTCCAGCTCAGAGGCCTGAAGCCGCATGAAGCAAGGCAGAGGGAGTGGGGCATCCTCCTCTCCCCGGACCCAGTGTGGACACACAGCTGCCTCCTCACAAACCCACAAACACGTCACCTTCTCCATGCACACAGACACACAGAGTTCCCCACTCACAAAAAATAATGCACGCAAGTTGGGAAACACTCACCACACCCCCGTTCTCCTCCCCCCTGCTTTCCCTTTGCAAATATAAACTGCGGGCGCACACATCCCAAGCAGACACATGGACACAGGCCACAAGCTGGGATACTCTTTCCCTGTTACAAACATCTCACCTCCCCCGCAAAGACACGCAAACGCTTCCCTCTGCAAGCATAAAACACACAACGCACGTGCTCCCCTCACGGGGGTGCAGAAATGCACCCTGCCACCTCTCAAGCACGCATGTGAACGTGCACACACAGTCTGCATCCCACGTGGACTACACTCATACCCCCACACAGAGATCCAGAAGTACATCCTAGGTTCAAGATCCTGTGTCAAGTCCTGATTATTTTCCTTCATAGGAAGGTGGCATCTAGAGGCCTCAGACGTGGAGCAGACTTGTGCTAAAACACACGAACAAGGAGATGGTTGTGATAACTGTGTCATATGCAGCAATCCCAGCTGCCCAGCCGTTGTCAGAGGCTTTTAAGAGATGGTGCCGTATCAAGCTGGGGTGGAAGGTGCCCGATGTAGGGGCTGCACTGACTTTTGCACCGGAGAAAGGTGCTGAGAGAGGAAGCCATGGGTGGCTGAGTGTGGGGAATGGAGTGGGGATGGGGGCTGGCACCTGAGTGCTTGGCGCCATCACTAGACCATCGTGGAGGGCGTTTTAACCTTGGCCTTTGCTTTGTGTCTTGCAGATTTCTCCAACCAAGTCAATTCCACCTCCCTGAACTCCCCAACCAGCCGGGGGCCCATGGCTGCACCTTCCCTCCATCCATCCATTGGGCCGGGGATTGGCTCCTCGCTGGGCTCAGCGGGCCAGCTCCATTCCCCCATTAGCACCCTCAGCTCCCCCATCAATGGCATGGGCCCTCCCTTCTCCGTCATCAGCTCCCCCATGGGACCTCACTCTATGTCAGTCCCCTCAACCCCCAACCTGGGGTTTGGAACCGGCAGCCCACAGGTAAGCCAGGAAGGGGGAGGCAGGGGAGACAAGATTTATGGATAAGCAAGAGGGGAAAAAATAAACAGGAATGGCCGGCAGGTTTCTTTTGGGGAAAGGAGCAGCGATCTTACCCCACCCACAAAACTGGAGGGGTGGCGAGACCCGTCCTGAACCATGCCAGTGGCATCCCTGTCTCAGGTCCTTCCAAACATTAGTAAAAGTTCCTTGAGGTTGCATCTACATGGGATGCTGACTGCGCAGGAGCTCGTTACTGCTGTGCAGTAGCATCATGTGGCACAAAGAGCGGCACTTATTGTGCAGTCGTAACGAGCTCGTGTGCAGTCAGAGTCACTGAAAAGCTGTTCGGGGATGCCATCGTGCAGTAGCCCCAGTTCCTGTGCAGGCATTTAGTACTTGTGCATGTGAGTTGCACAGTAACAACCGTGCAGTCAGCTGTGTCACACCCCCAGCTCCGCGCCTGAATTTTGGGAGGACTCTAACCAAGGCAGCAACAGGAGACTGAATTTAAGAACCAGGCGGCCTGGCTTTCCTCTGCGTTCTGCTTGCTGGAAGCCCGGGACTTCAGCGGAGTCACTCCCTGTTTAAACGAGAGGCGTATCAGACCCCATGTATAATGGTGGGCTTCGCTTCAAAGGGTCATGGACACAAGCTGCCTTGCTGGGCTTCCTGTCTTTGGGCAGCAAAGAAGCAGGGGAGAGGAGAAAAGATGACTCTCTGTATTCTGGGATAAGCTGAGGATCTTCCCTGTCCTGGTACAAATTGGAGCAGCCCCTGGGCTGCTCTAAACTGCGCCTTTGCTGCAGTAAGCCCTGTGGCCCAGGTAAAATATGGGTTGCATGTAGTACAGTGCGGCCCCCTCCCCCTGTGCTGCATTGTAAGCTCCTTTCCGATGGTGGTAAGATGACCAGGGGACCTTTCTTTATGCCAGCGGCATTCTCCAGGACTTTGTTCTGCCCTGCTCGTGGCCGTTTTACGCTGCTTCCCCCTTCGCTCCCCGGCTGCATTTGCTTCCCTTTTCTTCGCAGGGGAGAGCGGTGTGGAGGAGGGGCTGGGCTCTGCTGACTGAAGATTATGTAAAAACCTCCAGCTATAAAGAGATAAGCCTGTTTTAAAAATAGCAGGCGCTGGGAGGGCTGGCGGGGCCCTGCCACCTGTTGCTGGCTGGCTACGGGGTACATGTTTAGCGAAAGGGCAGATTAAGGAATTGGCTCCCACCTGCCGCTCGCTGCTGGTTTATTTATTTCAGAGCTGCTCTGGGAGTCAAACACCTGCCGGCGCCTTTATTTTTGTATTAGCCTGATTTATTTCTAGGGCTAACACACTAGGGGACATTTTGTGCGTGCCTGGGAGGACAGATAATGTGGGGCAATAGGAGTGGTCCCTCGGCAGAGCCCATCCTAAATCAGTCTGAGCTGTTTCTACCTGGTTGTAAGTCGCTGCAGTGGCACGGGACCAGGTTGGGCAGTACTTGGCTGCTGGTTCACGGATGGGAGGAAAACCAGTTGCCTCTATTCAGGGACCGTGGCTGGGCCTGATGGGGCATAGTGAGGCTGTGAAATCACCAGGGTGCTTGCCATGCTCCCTTTCTCTTGCATTCTTGCATCTCCCCATCTCCCCCCCGCCTATTCCAGAGTTCAAGTCCAATGCCGTGTGAACCCAGACATATTCCTGCCCCCAGCATGGAGTTAACCCTGGGTTCAGCAGGGCAGACAGGCTGCTGGAAACCAGGAGAAATAGAGGCAAGTGTTGCTTCGGAGCCAGCCACTGCCCAGATAGTGCCATGAGAGCAAAGCCAAGGCTGGGGGAAGATGTGAAGCTGTGGGAATGCACGAGCAGTGAGCGAGGCAATGCGGGCAGGGTTTCAGTGCAAAGCCGCGGCTATTTTGGGAAGCCGAGACACACGGGCCAAGGGAACCGAAATAAACAGGCACCGCAAGGAAAAGAGGAATTGAGCCTAGTGGAGACCGAGTGCCACGGCATCGCTGGGCCCCGACGGTCCCTGTCATTTGCTCATGCTCGGTCTTAAGTGGTTTTCCTGGAGGAGACATTTAGGACGTTTTCAGTCTACTGGGTTTTTCCATCTGTCCCCTGTCTGCAAGCATTAGGCCCCTATCTTGGCAGTGGCGGGAAGGAGCTACCTGAGCCAGCTCGAGAGGGAGGGAGTTCCCAGTCCCGCGTGCACAGGAGGATGGAGGGAGGCATCCTCCCAGGGAGGAGGACAGCAAAGGCAGGAGTACAGGAGTGGGCCCCCCTGCCCATCATGGTACCAGTCCACAAAGCGCTGGGGTTAATGAAGTGTGTGCTCCTGCGCTGCCGAGCGGAGATGGCACTGATGGAAGGTGGTTTGAATCAGATGGCAGATGCCACTTGCCATCAGGCTATGCCTCGTTAGCTCTGGAAAGCCAGCCGAGCAGAAGGACACTGGGAGGACTGAGGTGTGCAAGGCGAAGTGCTGGGATTATGCAGCCCTCTTCTTGGCGACCCACAGGGTGGGGGTCTGGACACTCACGCTCTGCTCCGTGGAAAATCTGGTCCCAGCAGCATTGATGGCTATGCACAGGGGGGGCAGGATGCTTTCGGTGGCACTGCACTAGGCCAGGGGTGCTAGGGAAAGGTGCTGGCAGTTTGGGCCAACTGTGCCATCTTTCCCAGCTGCATCCCTGCTCCACTTCGGTTCCCTCGGAGAACTTGAGGACCCTGCCGCGGCTGGCGGAGGGGCTGGGCATAGCACAGGCGGGTGCCGTGCCAGCTCCCCTGGCAGCACAGCTTTGCCGCTGCTCACTCTGACCTTCAGCTCCTGCTGTTCCAGGTCCCACCCACGCTGCTCTGCAGACGCACCTCGCTGCTGACCTGCGGTGACCCAGTTATTCCACTCCGGGGCCTTCCCCAACTCTTGCCAACGGGCTTCACTCTTCACCTCCAGTGCCTCTTGCTATTCCAGTTCTCAGGCCCCAAACAGCTCCGCTGATCTGACCTGCCACGTCCCCTGTTACTCCTCTCTTGCACACACCAAAAGGGTCCCCTGCAAGCAAGGCTTCCAGCTCAAGTGCCTTGACCCACCCCGATTCAGCTGTTCTTAGGAAAAGTAGTGCCGCCCCTCACACGTCCTCGGTTTTCTCTTCCAAGTTACTCCAAGATGATTTGCAAGCATTGCAGCCTGAGAGATCCCCTCTGTGCGTGAGATGCCAGGACTGTCCCCACCCCCCCATTTTAGGGATGGGAAAACTGAGTGCAGAAAGGCTAAGGGGTTTATCTTGGGTTGTAGAGCCAGCTTTTTTCAGCTGGGCCCAGCACCCAGGAGCATCTGTTGGGACCACCCACAGCACATGACATTTTCCTGAAACTAGTGCCACGGCGAGACAGGTGGGGTTTATTATCTTTAAACGACCCTAGAAGGTGTCTCTGGATGTTAGATGTTTCATTGGAAAGAAAGAGAAAAGTGACCTCCCGGTCTCCTTCTCACTCCCTCTTTTTGCTCGCGCGAGTGTCGTCATGCACAGAAACAGAAGCAATAGCCTGTGGGTTGGTAGCAGACCCCCTTTTCCCCCCTCAACAGCAGGTCTGGAGAGGCCTGGGAGAGGTGAGGAGTCATGAGATGTGGAGTTAGATCGTAGTCTCGGTGTTGCCTCAGATTATCGGACAACAGTTTTGTTCTTTTGGAGGATTCCTCGGGACTATCTGAAGTCTTTTAGCTCTGGCGATTGCCAGGCCGGAGCGGATGGGACTGCATCAGCAGAGCTTAAAAGGAGATGCTCAAGCTAGAGGAAGGGAACCCAGGAGCCCGGCTGCCCAGGGCAGTTCTCGTTCTAGGCCGCGCTGCCCTGCACCCGTGGCACCCTCCGGATATGTGTGCGCCAAAAGCAGAAGTAGGTGCTGTCAGGCGCTTGGTGTGAAGCCCTGGGCTGGGCTCGCTGTCTCTCTCACCATGGCTCCTTCAGCCTTTGCTTCACAGCCTCAGGACCCAAGAGGAAGGAGCAGCAGGCGCCAGGGGAGAGTGTGGGAACCGAGAGGCACACGTGTAGCACTGCTGTGGTTTCAGGAGGTTGCCGAAAGAGGAAATAGAGGCATTTTCCCATCCATGGGCACTGACTCAGCAGCTGGTTGGGGCTCCTGCTGACTCATCGGGGCACACTAGCCAGCTTGGGGACCCAAGGGACGGGGCACAGGTGCTACTGCGGTGTCACCAGCCTGGCACTTGGATCCCAGTGCAGTAAAGGAGAGTCTTCCCCCACGGAGCTGCCATTTCTACCAGCCCCTCCCATCCCTGCATGCATTAAATCCTCCACCCCTGCCATCCAACAATGCTCGACTCAGTGGAGATCACTGAAAGAGCCCTAGTCCCTCCAAGCTCCAGTAGCAGGCTGATGTGGAGAGCAACACACAGGACCCCTGGGCTAAGCTGACATCCTCAGCTCTGGGAAGGGCATGCTCCTAGCAGCCAGAAGCATGCATGCTTGGTGCTTCCTCGTCCCTGCACCCACATGCCCATGCCACAGCTTTGCCCACTCGCGATTGCCATCACCGATCCTTGTGGAGCTCGTTTAGTGACAGCGATTTTGAAGACGGGCTGCAACCAGCGGCAGTTCCTCCTAGGGAAGACTGGTCAAAATAGCATTAAGTACTCTAGCCAAATAACCTGCTCCAAGGACCTTGTGTCCTCATTTTCATGCTCCAAGGACCTTGTCCTCATTTTCAAAGCATTCATTAGGCCTGTCTCCTTGCAACAGGACTGAGTCTGATTGACATCAATTGGTGGGGTATAATGGAGCACATATTTACAGGGGCCTGCAGTGCACGCTGCAAGATGCATTTCTTTCAGGTAACACTCCACCTTCAAAACACCTGGCTGCCCACCAAGGACTGCAGCAACGGTAGATCCACGAGCACCGTAAGGGACCTGGGACAACAGAGGGAAGGCTTCCAACAGGGCAGGGGGTTGGACTTGATGATCTGTTCAGGTCCCTTCCGACCCTAGAAACTATGAAACTATGAAACTGGCAGCTGATGGCCTTTGACGTTAGCGTGGTGCCCAGACACTTGGCGGGCAGGGCTCGGGTCTCTTGCTCTTTAAGGAGCTTCTAAAACTATGGGGAGTTCAGAAAATGAAACCTGATATGGTTTGTCAGAAAACTCTCGTGCAATCGTTTTAGTTTGACCTCCCACGCAATGGAGGTTGTGTTCTTGCATGAAGCCAGTAACTTCTGGATGAAAGAGAGCATCTCTTTGAGAATCCATGCCACCCATCCAGCCAGATCTCAGGCGACAGAGGACCCATCTCATCTCTGAATCGGATTAATGAGAGGCCTACGGCAAACATTTAACAAGCAGAACGTGGGAAATGCGTATCTACCCCTCCAATCCGAGCCTGTTTTGTTGCTGCTTCTCCTACAGGGCTAGCGAATTGTACATTCAAGTCATTGAGAGGGCAGAGACCACAGATTTTCCAGGAACGCTCCGGTTGATGCTCTTGCAGGAGGTGCCTCACACTCAGCAGCATTGTTTTTATGTTTCAGCTTCTCTTCCCCGATCTCTCAAGGGCAGCTGACAACAGCGGAGTCCGAAGAGGGAAGAGAAGAGATTTTTCTACCGTGCATGTGTTTCCTCGTATTGCGTAGGAAACGGGGCAGGCAGCCGAAAGGGGACATTGGAGTGGTTCAGAGGAAGTCTTAATGAAGACAGGATGGAGGAGGAGGAGGGGTGGAGCAGGGCTGGAGAAGACAAGAGAGCCCTTGTGCTGACTCAGGGGAAGAGCCGAAGGTGGAATTTGAGGAACCAAAAGTGCATGGTCATTCACAGGGAAAAGAGACGGCCAAGGGTGGGCTAATGCAGACAAGCACCGTTGCCCTCTGTCGGAGGACGTCAGAGCAACTCTGCTGTGTGTTCAAGGCCGGACCCTGCAAATAGCCAGCAAAATGCCTGGCCTTCAGCTTGGAGGGATGGCTGGTGCAGGGGGGTGGCCCTGAGGTCCACCCCGATCATCCCTGTGAAGCCTGCAGAGCAAAGCTGCAGTCCAAGGTAGATGTGCTCCAAGCTTATTGCTAGGGAAGGTGGTGACGGTCATCCTGGGACCCCGCAAATCCCGCTGTCTGTCTGTGCATCTGTTCATCCATCTGCTGACTTTAGCCTCTTTTCTACCTTGTAGAAAATTCATAACAGCAGCTGTCTCCCAATGCCTGAAGAAGGGCGTTTGTGTCCGAAAGTTTGAAAAAGCAATCAGGACTCATAGGACAGGTGATCTCTTTTATTAGACCAACTAGATTTTTGCAAAAAAAAAAAAATTTAATCCTTAACTGCAACCCTTTGGGCATCAACCCCGTTCATCAGGCACTGGAGAAAAGACTGTAAAAGTTCTCCTGGGTAGAAATGCAAGTTCATATTTCATAGGATTTCACCGAGGAGTCAGTAAATGGAAAACTCCTCTGGGCAGGCATTTCTTAGTTGTTAAGGTGTCTCTGAGCTCTGTTGTGAGGCTCTGTGATGATGCAAATGACCTTGAACAAAGGCAGGAGCAGGATCTCAGGTTTCAGGTGGTCAAAGATGCTTCATCCTTGTGACACTATGAGGATTTCATTAAAAAAATTGGCTAAAAGAATTTTTTTTTGCAAAAGTCTAGTTGGTCTAATAAAAGATCTCATCTCTACTACGAGTCCTCATTGCTTTTTCCTCTAGACCAATATGGCTGCAACCTGGATACCTGACCGAAAGTTTGAATATAACTTTTTCCAACTATTTAGTTGGTCTGTTAAAAGACATTACATCTACCCAAAGAACTTTGCCTGACTATACCCTTCGGTTATGCTTCATCCCGTGATCATCACCGTGGGAAATGAGTGCCCATTAAGTTTCAATCCAGTCTCACGTGTCAGTGAGATTCATGGACCTTTGAGACCTTGAGGGATTGGGCCCGTGGGTCTGAATGATCTGTCCTCACCTATTGATGGCAGGAGCCTTGGTGGGAGATGGGTGGGATGAAGTGTTCCCTCTTGCAGGTAGGTCCAACCATGCCCTGGTTCGTGACTATTCATCAGCTAGACCCACTCGGGTAGAGCCAGAAGCGACTTTGGTGATTATCTGCTCTCACCATTTGTGACCATGGGCCGCAGGACTTCCTTGAATTAGCTCCTACTTCCAGTTCAGCGGTTGTGAATGAATGGGAGCCTCTCAAAAAAACACCACCATCCACTCTTGATTCAGGACTAGCTGATGGGGGAGAATCCCTCATTGCCTTCGGTAAGGTCTTCCGATGGTCAATTATCCTCCCTTTTAATAACAGGCACCCTAATTTTAATCTGAATTTTTCTGGCTTCCGTATCTGGTCACTGCACCTCTGTCTGATGGATTCAATAGCCTGGGACATTTTTATTTGCCATATAGGTGCTTAGAGAGCATGATCAAGTCACTATTTCAACTTCTCTTTGGTGAGCTAAGGAAATACAGAGAGCGCTGAAATAGCCTTAGAAACCTCCAGCAGATGCCAAACCAACCCTTAACTCTATTGCAAGAATCCTACCCCCCTGCCCTGTATTATATCACATAGTTAGGCCAGAATCTGTCCTCAAGTATTTTGATGCAAATGCAGAGTAAATCCTGTTGACTTCAGTGGAATTATTTTGGGTTCACACTCCAGAAACTGAGACCAGGATTGGACCAGGAGAGTAGAGGGCTTGACCCAGAGATCCATGCCGCCAAAAAGAGAAACTCCCATCACTTGAACGGCATTTGGATCAGGCCTGTAGGACCTGGCCATCACCTATAAAGCTGCGTCTTGGATGCTGGAGCCTGCACAGCTGATTGGAAAGCCACAAACATGCCTCGTGCCAGGCAGGCAGTCAGGCTGATAAGGATAGGAAGAGAAAGCCTCCCTTTCCCTTCCAGCCTCTCCCAACACATGTTCTGTCTCATCACTTTGGGCCTCCCCTGAGATGACACGTCCACACAGAGGAGCCAAAGCTGTTTGAAAGAATCCATGAATTCGTGACCGAGCAAAATAGTGGCCGCAGGAAGGACTCGGTTGTAGTGGCGGTTGGCTTCTCAGACGGGAGTCGCCTATTCCCCATTGGCATTTGTGATGCTTCCATAAAGAACGGGACACATTCCTCTAGCGTGGGATAGTCTTATGTCTCTCCCCCAGTGGAGTCTTCTATCAAATAATTTTACCACCTGGAGCAAAAAACACAGATGAAGACCAAAACCCTGGTTGAACCATGATAATAATAGGAGGCATGGCTGCACGGTACTAGGAATAATAACTTGCAGATTGGAAAATTAGGAGTCAGCTCACTTCTCTGCTGTGTTTCCTACATGCCCTCCTAGAAGTTAGTTAGGGTAGGTGTGAGGACACAGAACCTCTGGCTATCTCGATGACTGGGAGTAGGTTAACCAAAGCAATGCAGAGCTCCCCGGGGCTAATTTACCCCTTTGTCTGGCAGCACCTGAACTCCTAGACACAGTGGGGAGCACAGCATTGCCCTGCCCTGGTGGGTGTCGCAAAGAGCAATGCACAAACCATGGAGAGCTGCTTGTTCCCATATTGCAGAAACGGATCCGAAACCGCAGCTTGCCAAGTGCTAGGCTGTAGGCCTGCCTGGCAGGGGTGTGCTTCGTAGCGCGTTTCTGCAAGTCCCACCATCCCCTCTGCCCTTCTTGCTGCCCTGATGGGGACAGAGAATGAAGAGGACCTGGAAAAGAGAAGGGAAGGGGAATTGCTTGGAGTCTGCATGCAGAAAAGGAAGGGGAGTGTCCTACGAAGCAGGCCTATTGCTGGGGTGACCTGTAATTCATCCTCTGAGGATCCTTCCCTTCAAGAGATAATGCTAAAAGACAGCCTATAAATCCCCCCCAGTAAAAGCAGCCGGGCTGCAGTGTCCTGGTCTTCATCATCCCCAAGCCCGACCTCACAGCCAGGAGCCCTCCCCCAGATAATCACTGCAAATCATTTTCTCTGCTGCGAGTCCCGAGGCAGCATCTTCCTCACGTGCCGAGATAAGGGCTCTCCCCACGGAGGTGGGCGGAAAGGAATCTGCCTGCCCATTAAATCAACCGGGAACGTGGTTTACAGGGCCAGCTTATTAGACAGTGGTGTCAGCCCTTCGTAGTTCCTCGGCTTTATAACAGGATTAGCCGCTGTCCCTTCCCCAGGTTGTAATGTGAACCTGGGATCTGTGTATTCATGGAGGCATGATGTCATCCGGCTGCACGGATTAATTGCCCAGGTCAGCTGCCTACAATGGGCTTGGCTCTGTGCTGCTGACTCTTGTTCCACAGCAGGGGATCAGAGCACAGGCCTTTGATCTCCGGAGACCTACCTTGAGCTCCCAGGATGCTGGCGATTTCAAGCTGGGTTAATTCGGACTAACCTCTTTCCCAGTTGCACCTAACGGGGGCCAGCTGGCATTGTCTGCAGGATTTGGATCAGAGAAGGAAGGACCAGCCCTCCATTCAGCTCCCTTCCCAGAGGTGAACAGTGTCCACAGAGCTCTCTTGGATAGGGTGGGGCCCCCCTGCAACCTCTGAGGCCTGTGCTAATGAGCTTTGCAAGCTGATTATGTCTGCTCTTTATTGGATAGGGTTGTTGTGCAAAGGTCAGGTAGCAGAGGGTTGCAAGCCAGGATCAATTTGAGGGATGAGGACTGGGAATAGAAACCAAGTGTGGAAAAGCCAAGGGCTTACAGGCTTGGATGGAGGTGAACCGACAGCTTGGTAAGTCCTGGGCCTGTCAGGTCAGGGTGAGGTTTATTGGTAGAGCTGTGTGGGACACTGGGTCCTCAGGTGGCAGCTGCAAAGGAGGTGCAGGGCTGGAGCACAGTCTTCCCAGTTCACACATCCCCCCTTCCTCTTCCTCCCGTCCCACCAGGGAAAGCAACCCTGCTCCAGACGGCTCATCTGTGTCGTTTCCTGCATCCCAGATCTGAGTCCATGTGCACGCGCAGCACACACAGAAGGGGTGGTTATTCTCTCCTCGAACGTAACCAGTCTCCTTTGCTTCCCTCTGTGCAGCTCAATTCTCCGATGAACCCTGTCAGCAGCTCAGAAGACATTAAACCGCCCTTGGGGCTCAATGGGGTCCTTAAAGTGCCAGCACACCCCTCAGGAACCATGGCCTCTTTCACCAAGCACATATGTGCCATCTGCGGAGACCGATCTTCAGGTAAAGCCTGGCGCCTGGCTCCAAAAATGCTTTACAGGGGATGCAAGAGGGTGGAGGAGGTGGCCCCCGGGGGAGGATGAATTCCTGTCCTTGGTCTTTATTTGCCTATTTGGATGGTCACATGCCTTGGTTCCCTTAGGGCAACCCAGTGCTTCAGTTTTGTCTGCCATATCTCGTCACCTGCCCTTCCTCTCTGCTTTGGGTAGAGCAGGCAGCAGGTTCAACTCCACTGCCTGGGCCTGGAGAGCTGAAGGGCCCCTGTTGGTCCTCATGCCAAGTGGGGATGCTGGGAGCAGTTTCTTGAGGCTTTATGGGAAGTAGGTAGGACAAATGAAGCCTCCGGACATGTCCTGTCACCTGCACGCACCCTCATCACAGCACCCGGAGACACTCCGACATGCTCATTTGGCCACCTTGAGGCCACGGGGTCCCTCTCTCCGGCCCTATAGCTCCAAATCCCATACTAGACAAGCCACAGCCCATGAAAACCTGGAAGGGATGGAGGGAGAGGAATAGGGGGAATAGCTGGGTGCCCCTCTGGTGGGCCCAGTGCCCAAGCAGCCTGCCTGACCTCTCGCTCCTCCGCAGGTAAACATTACGGCGTGTACAGCTGCGAGGGCTGCAAAGGTTTCTTCAAGCGCACGGTGCGGAAAGACCTCACCTACACCTGCCGTGACAACAAGGACTGCCTGATCGACAAGCGCCAGCGCAACCGCTGCCAGTACTGCCGCTATCAGAAGTGTCTGGCCATGGGCATGAAGCGAGAAGGTAAGGGACGTGGAGCAGCAGCCTCCAAAAAGCAGCCGCGGTGCTGCAGGTTCAGGTGATTCCTCCATGGGCTGGCTGTCAAGTAGAAGCTCCCTCCTCTTGGTATCCCTACAACATAACCGGCACCAAAGCAATACTTCAATGCAGGGCTGAGCCTGAGTGCAGCCAGTGGCATGTGGCAGAGATCTCTCCAGGCCATCTCTGCTCCGAATCATGCTGTTGGCTGATACCCAAAGGGTGGGTTTGCTCACCTCTCTTATGTATATTTTGCCCTGGCTTCACAGCTGTGACTCCACTGGCCCCAGAAGCGATGGGGCAGACGGAGGCTAGCTTACATACCAATAAGTGGGCATGATAGAGGTAGGTTGTGAGACGCACCAGATCGTGAGGTTGTAGTGAGAGGTCTCCTGAGATAGCAGTGCCACTAAAAGTTGGCACAAGGCAATGGATGGCGAGGCTAGATGGGTGCCCGAGAGCAGGATGCTGCTCTGGGCGACTTGCTTTGTTCTTTCACTATCGAGGAAACTTGTATGAGCTTCTTCCCTGCCAGATTGCCACTTCCATCACTAACAAGCAGCAGCCACGTCCCTGGATTGTTCTGACCTAGGTAGCACCCAGCTGGGCACAGTGTCATAGCGACGCACTTTCCTTTTTCCAACCCAAGCCTCAGAAAAGCCAACACCACAAAGGGATGCAGCAAAAGAGGGCTGAGCAATGTGAGATATTGTTGAGTGGCATTTGCTGATGCATTTTAAAAGACGCTTTTCCAATTCTCAGACGGCCGTAAAGCCTGTAGGAAGGGGTGAACTTAGGGCTGGCTTTTAAGGTAAAAAGCTTTTGGATTCAATTTATTTTGGATGACTAAGATTGCTGTCTGGTTCAGCCCGTTGTTTTATACTCAGCCTGATCTGAAATGACGTTAAATCTTGGAAAATGGGACACTGTCATGTTTTTAAAAAAAACCATATTGTGGCAGGGCACTGGGTGTGCCTGCCACTTTAAGGCCCTGGAACTGGCAGCCTCCAGGTGCCTGAGGAGGGCAGCCATTTTGGGCTCAGGGCTGCCTATATAGATGAGGCAGTTGGGCTGTTGGGGGAGAAGTAACAACATCACCCTTTCTCTGGGTTCTCCTCCACAGATGTGGGGAGCTGGGGTACCTCACACCAGGACTGGTGCCTCAGGGTCTCACAGGGGACTCTCACTCCCCCCCGGGCAGCAGGTCATGATACTACAGCCGGTGTTATAATTGACCCACACTCTGCCTCCCAACGGTGGAGGACTTACTGCGTCAGGGCTCAGCTCTCGCTATCTCCTGGGTGTGACCGGAAACTGCACCCTGCCGGGAGTGGGTGGCCTGGTGGGGCTCCCAGTGGCGCGGGAGCCCCCAGGAAATGCCAGGCCAGTGACCACCCCGGTGAAAGGCAGGTCGGGGTGCCTTAACCCCTAGCCCTCACCTTGGGGTGGGTCGCGGTACACTGGAGGTAGTTGTGGGGGTTTGAGACCCCGAGGAGGAGAGTTGGGGCCAGGCATGGCTATGGCCACCTGAGCCCACCTGTGCAGTGAAGCCCCGAGACCCCGAGTAAAGGGGGCGTTACGAGCAGTGTGGAGCCCCCAGTGTGAGGGAGGTAGTGTGTGGAGTCCCAGTGTGAGGGGGGCAGCATGGGGAGCCCTGTGAAGGGAGAGGGGGGCTCAGCTAGAGGGCGAGAGAGCTGAGTCCTGACCCCAGTAAGTCCTCCAA